ACCAAAGGATAAACTATCAACTGCGAGTGAAGTTCATAAACAGTATCAGACGTCACAATGAACTGAAACTGTTAAGGGAAATCAGATGATCACAATTAGGACAGCTAGGAACCTGACACTCAGGACGTTGAGTATTAAGTTATCGGACGATCATAATGGAACAGATGTACTAGTTCCTTAACTTTTATATGTAAGGCCATATAATATTAATTACATAGTACTTCTGCGAGTAGGAGTTGTGGATGCTCACTGCCGATGAGTCCCATACCAAGACGAAACGGCCTTCCAGTGCTTACAGGTTTCTAATGGTGTGGTATAACAATGATTGATTCATGATTTCATACTTCACTCCCTATCACTAGGGAGTGAAGTAGTCGAACGTGTAGACCGCTTCACTTATCTTGGGAGTCTCATCAGTGCTGATGGCCTGGTGACTGACGAAATCTCAGCTCGGATACAGAAGGCTCGATTGGCTTTTGCCAACCTGCGTCACTTATGGCGTAGGCGTGATATCCGTTCTCTAATCAAAGGACGAGTGTACTGTGCAGCAGTTCGCTCCGTTCTCCTATATGGCTGTGAAACATGGCCAATGAGAGTAGAAGATATTCGTAGGTTACTGGTTTTCGATCATAGGTGTCTTCGAAGCAGTGCTCGTATACCGTGAGACAACCGAGTAAGCAATGCTGTCGTTAGGAAACGAGTACTAGGCAAGGATGGCAGATCAATCGATGAAGTGGTGAAACTTCATCAGTTGAGGTGGTTGGGACATGTGTTGCGTATGCCTAACCACCGACTGCCTCGTCGAGCCTTGTTTTGTAGTGTAGGAATAGGTTGGGAGAGAGCTAGGGGCGGCCAGACCAAAACATGGCACAAATCCATGAAGTCATTGACGAGTGGACTTAGCCATGTCGGTAATTGTCGACTACCTGGTTGGGGTCCGCGAGAGCATAATAATCGATGGTTAGAGACCTTGAATGACATGGCTCAAAATCGTTCGCAATAGCGCCGGTGCATTTATTCTCTGTGTTCTCTCAAATCCTAATCTTCTGGATTCTTCAACACCTCTAGTTCTGACTTTCTAAACTTATCTCACTGAATCATACTTCTTGAATAGTATCTTCTAATTCTAACCTCTCCGATTACTTCTAATTCCCTTACTACCTCTACTACAATTGGATTTGAATTGACAATTACATCTCTGTGCTGATGTGGTATGGCGACATGAACTGATGTACTTACGTACGAAGTTCTACGTTGCAACTGACTGACTGACTGACTGAATATTCACAACTCCATGATAAAAATTAGTACTTCTCTCACTCTATTTCATTTACCTTTCTTCAATAGTTTTTCCCCATCACAAACCGCTACCTTAACGCATTTTATTGTTGTTAGCTTAAATTAGGACATAACATTTAAAAGAAATACAAGTACCATTTAGGTATACAAAACGGTTTGTATTATTTTTGTACAATCTAATAATTGTAAATTTGTACAATGGAAAAATACAACTAAGCAAATGAATAGTTTTTTTTTGTTTAACGAGGCCATGGATCAACTCTATGTGTACGCATTACAAGTGAAATTTTTCTTGACATCTCAGAGTTATATATACGTTTACAACGTTCATACATAAATCTTCGTCTCCAAACAGTTGGTCTCTCATAATATCGTTGAAAGTTGACTGTACTTCTTACTTTGTCAACATTTAGTATTCTAAAAAAAAAAAACAGATGAATAAAGAACAAATTAAAAATTCCAAGATGTTTGTTTTTAGTTACATTTGCCATGTTGAACTCAACCCTAATCTTTTGGATTCGTCAGCCCCTATATCTTTGTCTTTCTAACTTTATCTTACTGAATTATACTTCTTGAATAATATCTTCAAACCCTAGTCTTCTTCATTACCATTAATACCTTTACTATCTCTATCACTATGGGACTTGACTTGACATTTGCGTCTCCGTGTTAGTGTGGTATGACAACATGAACTTATGTACATATGTACGAAGTTCTACGTTGCAACTGACTGACTGACAGACTGATTTTTAACTCAACTGATGAATTGGTTGAATAAAAACTGGAATACCAATGTTTCTGAATGTATATACAAGTAACTGAATTCACTAACTTGAATTGTATTAATAAATAGAATCAGAATATTGGCAGTTAAACTAAAATTACAAGTAATTATATAATAACAGAAATAAATTTGAGATTGTAGTAAACAGGACTAGTTTTTATTATATTGAAATGAGTCCAATTCAGTCAGTCAATCAAACAGCTATAATGTAGAACTTCGTACGTACGTACGTACATCAGTTCGAGCTGCCATACCACATTAACACAGAGACGTGACTTTCAATTCAAATCACATAGTAGGGAGAGTAGAAGTATTAGCGGTAATGCAGAAGAGTAAGATTCGAAAAGTATAAGCCACTGGAATCAATTTAAAAAGAGGAACAAGGGTCATGAGGAATTAAGAAGATTAAGAGTTGAGAGAAGGCAGAGAAGAAATGCATCTGCGCCATTGCAAACGATTTTGAGCCATGTCGTTCAAGGTCTCTAACCATCGGTGACTATCGTCTCGCGGACACCAACCAGGTAGCCTACATCTACATGTTAGTGACTTCACGGATTTCTGCCATGTTTTGGTTTGGCCGCCCCTAGCTTTCTTCCAATCCACTCCTACACTGCAAAACAGCTCGCCGAGGCAGTCGGTGGTTAGTCATACGTAACACATGTCCCAACCACCTAAACTGATGAAGTTTCACTACTTCATCGATTCATCTGCCATCCTTACCTAGAACTCGTTTACAAACAACAGCATTGCTTATACGGATGTCCCAGGATATACGAGCAATGCTTCGGAGACACCTATGATCGAAGACTAGTAACCTACGGAAGTCCTCTACACTTAACGGCCAAGTATCGCATCCGTACAGTAAGACGCAGCGAACTGCTACACAGTACAGCCGTTGTGAGCTAAAGGTGACGCAGGTTGGCAAAAGCCAATCGAGCCTTCTGTAACCGTGCCAAGATTTCGTCAGTCACCAGGCCATCAGCACTGATGAGACTCCCAAGATAAGTGAAGCGGTCTACACGTTCGACCACTTCACTCCCTATCACTAGTTCAGGTGCCGATGCAACCCAATCTTGAAGCAACATTTTGCATTTCGAGGGGGAAAACCGCATCCCGAACATGCTTGCATTGTTACTTAGGGTAGTCAGAAGACTGCATTTTGTCAGCGTCTTCACCAAGTAGGACTATGTCATCGGCATATTCTAAGTCAATAAGCGAGCCACCTGGTAGAAGGTCTATTCCAGAAAATTCAGACGAGGGATAAGGTTATTTCTAGGAGCATGTCTACGATAAAATTAAACGAGAATGGAGAAAGTGGACATCCCTGACGGACACCACTTTATGTAGAGAATTCCGGTGACAGTTCGCCATAAGCTCTCACTCGACCAGTGGTGTTCGAGTAGAGAGCTTGTATGAGGTTAATGTACTTATTTGGCACACCTTTCAATGACAGACACTGCCACAGAACCTCACGATCCACCGAGTCAAATGCCGCCTTAAGGTCTAGGAAAACAACTATTGTAGGACGCCTAAATGTGTATCTATGTTCCAGGACCTGTCTGAGTGTGAAGACGTGGTCTATACAGCCACGTCCAGGTCGAAAACCAGATTGGTTTCCTCGAGTCTGCTCTTCCCGAGCTTTCGTTAAGCGTCGAAGTATTATTGAGGCCAATATTTTAGATACTATATTAGTTAGACTTATTCCCCTGTGATTGTCACAAGAAGACTTTTGTCCTTTCTTATGGATTGGGACAATCAAGGATCGAGACCAGTCGGATGGGATTGCGTCCAGTTCCCAGATTCTACCTAAACTCCCAGTCAACCTAGCTGATAAAACTGGACCACCATCCTTAAATATCTCAGGGGTCAGTCTATCAGGACCTGAGGCTCGTCCTCGCTTCAGATTTCCTAACGCTTTTTCAACTTCATTAAGACTAGGGGGACTTACGTCGATTTGCCATTCAGGATGACTGGAGATCGTGGGTAACCGAAGAGTGGCTCGTGGCCAGTTGAACTGATCCCTAAAGTGTTCTGCCCATCGATCCAGTCTCCTGGATTGAGAATAAGTGAGAGTCCCGTCATTTTCTGAGACAGTCTCACTTACACTAGGATTCCTAATTCCAGTTTCTTTAATAAGGCGGAAAACTTGTCTACTGTTGCCGATCGCCGCTGCCTTTTCCATAGCTTTTGCTTTCGCCACCCACCACTGTTCGCGGTCCTTACGTAGGCTTTTTATAAGTATGCGCCTAAGTTGACTACGCTCTTCATCATGCTCAGAGTCAGGTGGGATGAGTTTTCGGGCATCCATCAGATCGGTGGATGCTACTGAGATCCACGGTTTCATTCTAGCCTTATGGTCAACCTCACTAGCAGATATCACTGCTGTTTCCACAGCCTTTTTGATATCATTCCATCCTGCTTCCGGATGGGAATCGCTTAAATGGTCGCCTAACTGTCTTTCTAGTTGTTCCTGAAATATATTTTTCGCCTTATTATCATTAAGTAAAACCCTAAGAGGCTTCCTTACGGTGTCTTTCCTACGTCCAGTAAGCTTCAAACAAATACGCGCTCGCACTAGGGCATGATCTGAATCTAAACATGTGCCCCAGAACGAGCGACAGTCCTCTATCGAACCCCTCCATCGGTGGCTGATGGCGATGTGATCTAGTTGAGTCCAACGTTGAGACGACTTTGGAGGTCGCCAGGTCAACAGATGCTTTTCCTTATGCCTAAAGTTGGTGTTCGCTAAGAATAGGCGGTTATCTGAGCACAGTTGCAACAGACGGTCGCCATTGTCTGTTCTCTCAGTCGCTACAACATAACATCCACCTAGATGTCTTTCCTTTTCAACTAGTCTACCTACTTGATGATTAAAGTCACCAGCCATTATTACTATATCAGAGCGCCTAGCTTTTTGGAGGAGGTCCGAAAGCTTTCTGTAAAACTCATCTTTAACCTCGTCTGCACTGCAGTCAGTGGGGGCATAGGCAGATATGACGAAGAGGCAACGGCGATTGTCCCTATCCTTCCGAGTCCTTACTGTCCCGTTTAGTCGGACAGCGCACAAGCGACTATCTACTGGGATCCAGTCTAGGAGAGATTGTTCTGCCCTACAACTCAACGCTATGCCTACGCCAGCAAGACCCCGGGAAGCAGCATCAGGGCTACCGGATACACGAAGAGTGAATCGGGCTGCTTCTTCGTTTTGACAAGGTGGAATCAGGTTAGTGACTTTACTAGGATCCTGTATGCGCGTTTCCGAGACGCAGCATACATCGATGGCACGAGAATCTAAAGTATTAGCTAAGGAAGCCTGTTGCCCTATTTGACACAATGTCCGTACATTAAATGCTCCAACATGTAGTCTAGAGCGAGGTTTAAGGAGACCAGGAACGACGTTTCGCGAACTCGTATCGTCTGCATTGGCTGTGCACTGTGATGAATGAATGTGAGAAGAGTTAGTCGTGGAGATAAGAGAGGTACTAGGGGGTGTAGGAAGGATTTGATTTTGACCAATTCGGTCTTGCGTGCTGTTACGGGTATGAGGGCGGTTGTCACTTCCCGGCTGCCCACACCGTGGAAGGTTGTTTCTTGAGGGACCTGAAAAAGGAAGATAGATTAGTGTTGGAGCGTGACCGCAGAGTCCAAGGGACAACTGCTTGAGGCCGGTCACGCACGGCCTTTTTATGAAACGTTTTTTGAGGACTAGCTCCGTTCTTAAAGGCCCGCAGTGGGCACCCTTACCCAAGGAGACGGAAATCCGTGAGGTAGGGGAGGTGTGACATTTTTAGGGTCGACCTTTTCTAACCCTTCCTTCCTTGTGAGAAGGCAGCATCGCTGCAGATGCTGGTTGTCCGAGGGAAACACCTTACTGCTGTCACACCCCTCTGCAGTCAGCAGTACGACTTCGCCCTCAGACCTTGGGTAGCTGCTTTTAGTCTCATCGTTCTCCAATCGACCTGTCTGGCATGGTAGAACCTTGAGGAACATATGTTCCAGCCAGCATAGCTCGGTGGGTCTTCACGATAGTCAAGCCCGACCACCGCGTCAAGGTAGCAGCTACAGTCAGGTCGTCTCTAAAAGCACGTCTATGACATAGTTGAATATGAATGGAGAGAGTGGACAGCCTTGACGAATACAACTCAAGGTAATCAATTCAGATGACAGTGCACCATAAGCTTATACTCCACGAAAGGCGTTCGAGTAGTCCGTTAATGTTTCGTGCACTCAAACCGTTTGCATCAGAGGTGTGAGATGATAAAGGAATGAAAAAGGGTTAGTCATGTATATACCGAGAGGTGTTGGAAGAATTTGATCATGACTAAATCGGTGTCATGAGTAGTTACGGATTTGAGGATATATGTCACCTTCCGGCTCGCCACATAATGGAAGGGGATACCTGACTGCTGCCACAACCCTTTACAAGTAGCAGTACAACGTTACCCTCAGACCTTAAGTTGCTGCTTTTAGTCTTACAGTCCTCCAATAGATCTGCCTGGCACGATAGGACCCAAATGAACACATATTCCAGAAAGTGTAGCTCGGTTGGGTCATCACAATAGGCATGCCTGAACACCACCACAAGGCAGTAGCTACAGTCGGGGAAAGGAATCAAATCAGTCAGTCAAACAGCTACAACGTAGAACTTCATATGTACATACATAAGTTCAAGTTACCATATCACATTAGCACACAGACGTAAACGTCAGCTCAAATCCCCTATTAGTAGAGACAGTAGAAGCATAAGCAGTAATCGGAGAGATAAGGGTCTGACGATATTATTCGAGAAGTATAGTTCAGTGAAATAAACTTAAAAAGAGAAAGATAAAGGTGATAAAGAATCCAGAAGATTAGGATTTGAAATAACACAAATAATGGATACACCTGCGCCATTGCAAACTATTTTGAGTCATGTCGTTTAAGGTCTCTAGCGATCGGTTACTACTGTCTCGCTAACCTGAACCAGGTATTCTACACTTACTAACATGGTTCAGTTTACACGTCAGTGACTTCATAGATTTGTGCCATGTTTTTGATTGAGTCTAATCTTTAAAGTGAAATTTAATTACTTTAGCTCAAACATTTTTAGGTAAAAAAAATTGACAGGATATGATTAACATACAGTGAGACAGATAAACAAACAAAGCCAGGTTATAAGGATACATTTATAAGATATGCGAGTTAATCACATTACTTAGCACAAGTTAAATGATAGGATTGAATGTGCTTGAAGTTCAAATGCTTGGTCACAACTTATAGTTATATAGATTTGACATAATAACCCTCGTTATCCACTGATTTCCCCTAAATATTCTATTTGTACCTCCAATCAAGTTACACAAGCTTCAATCCCAGTGATAAAATAATCGTCCATTACTTCGATCTTCTTTCAGAGTTTATGTACTGTTTTGAGTTGGATGGATCATACGCAGGCTACAACTGAATCAATGTTTTGCATGGGGTTATTTTGTTGATACCTGATTATTACACTGTTGATTATATTTCTGGTAATATTAGCTCTCACATACAGCAGTTGGACTAGGATACGTAACCGTTCTACCGCAGTTTTAAAAAGATTCCGAAAATTTCAAACTACTAAACATTGTCATCACATTGGCTGAGTGTAACAGCTAAGCTACCAATGTCTAGAACTGGTTGCTGAACGAAACTTAACGGTATTTATCATTATCTAAAACGGCATGATTCAAGCTAAACTACTCACAAAACTACTGATGTTTATGACTGAACTTTACTCTATGCTGCTTTCAAAGGAGGAAATGATGAGCTCTTAATTTTTCGTGTATTTCTCGAAACACGTATAGGCGTGAAGTAAAATTTACAGAATCGTATTTAAGAACATAGTAAACAGTAAACTAGGCTCACTTATTAAGGGCTCTGAATGCACTGTTATAGTCATCGTTATTGACCACTACCGTCTTTTTCAAAAACCGAAAGTTTTGGAAGAAAATATCTACCGGTAGCGATGACTTCGACATTTTATGACGAACAAGGTTACCACCTATACCTAATGATATTGAAAAGTGTGAAGGTCATCCAATATCCAATATCTTTTTCACGAGCTAGTGTAAACCAATTTGATTTCTTCGCGCTCGATTCTTGTTCTTTCGGTACGGTTCCAGGTGTTCGGTAGACATTCGGTGAAGACATTCAAAGAATTAGGGAACTGTAATAATTCCTAATATTTGTGGTGCTGCGAAACATTCGGATATACAAATTAAAAACACAAATGTTGCATTTTATAGTGAACGGTATCAAAAAATTAAAAAGTCTTTGTTTTGTATCGGAATTTTAGGTATTTTACGTTCTGATCATTTGTATACCCAGAATATTTCATATCTTTATTGCGACCATTAGTTTGTTTGTTCACTACATTTACTTTTACATTTTGCGTGCAGAGAGTAAAGAACAATTCATGATCACATCAATACTTAGTTTTCCATCATTATATTATCACTTACAATATGATTATCTAGTGAGAGTGTAGTGACTTCTCTTTTATGAAGAGAACACGATTGGTTTAATAGAAGTGGACGTGGAGAAAACTCACTCTACGAAAAGCAACCATCTGCGCCACAAGACTAGCCCTCACGTGGAACCTTCAAAGTCAAAGGAAAAGAGGAAGACCAAGAAACATTTTAGGCCGAGAAATAGTAAAAACGTTGGACAGAACAGGAGAGGGAAGGCCAGGACAGGGTCTCCTGGAGAACACTGGTCGGCGACTTGCGCCTGCAACTGCGTTTCAAAATGATGGATCGCTATAATATAATAGACTCCGAGGTGCAGGTAATTGCATTTCCACATGTCTCCTCCTGGTAACTTCTGGTCATTAATTTATGCACGATTTTCGCACTAACGCGAGGTATCTACTGACCACAGATACCCAAGTTTCTGTCATATCATTTGGTAGCAGCCAATCTCAAACTACAACACTTCGACCACACATTGCGCATGACTTCGTCATTCCTGTCTACAGCACACAACAGCTAACGATCAACCTGTGTATTCAACGACAGTATCTGTGGACGTTTATTCCTGCTGGTGTTCTCATAGAAGTACTCGGTATCAATTCCCTACAGCAATGTGAATCGCTATTCAATTCACATAGGCTGTAGTTAATCGGTACTTGGTCGAATAATAAATCCAAGGGTTTAAAGGCTCCAGCAGATGTGTACCTAATCACTGGCGTGTTTTTTTACATGAACATTTATTTTATATTTGATGAATTTGTAGTGATTTACTTTCACTTACACAACTGCTGAAATATAAACATTTATTATTGCACTAAATTCTGACAACAATTGTTATAATTTACACCTCTTGTTTATCTGTACTAAAAACTATCTCTCGCGCCAAGCGCGTTATTCCCATTCTCCTCTTCGCACGTCTCCTGCGTGGACGCTGGCTTTCTGTACACCCACTTGCCTCGATGTTATTTCGATATCTCGAGGCCAGTATCAAATATTCTTCTTCCTCTAGAATCTCTTTCTTGATTCTTTGAGTCCGGGAGTAACATTTGTTCTCCCGCGAAGAAGTATATCGTACAAAACGCTTTAAGTTCATCGAAATAACTAAACCGTGGAAATGTTATCTATTATTTTTGATAAGCCACATCGTTTGCAGGCTCCCAGTCACGTCTAAATCTCGCCTACTGCCGCTGGACATTTTAGTTTCCGCTAAGCGTGAATTCGACAGTTTATTTGCTGTATGTATCTGTTCGCTCTTCTCATGGTCATTGGGCCTACACTCTCCACTCGAGTTGCAAAAAAGATGGCATTACTTGGAGACCATGCAGTGATTACAGAGCAGTAACAGCAGATATTTAATGTCCCGCCTCTGGCACGACATTTCATCTGCCCCTGGGACTTTTTCACACGGCGGAGCAGCAATTTCATGTATATCAGATAACGTCCAACAACTATCTGCGTTCATGTTAATACTGACTCCGCGTCATCTGCACCATCTACGTATGAGACTTCAATCTCACGTCCAGATAATCAGACCACTCCGCCCTTGATTTTGGATGAGATTTCAGTCTCAAGCTCTGAACCAGGAGGTACAAACAGGACTACCGTCTCACGTTCCGGTCCTCCAGTACGCCTACCTGTATGCTTTCGCGACCAGCTTCTCAATCAACAACGAATACGTCGTAGGACTCTGTCCCGATACAACATGCATGCTACACATTTCTCTTTCTCCTTGACTTTTTTATAATAATCCCACGTATCTGACCATCGCTGTGCTGGTGTGGTGCGCGTTACTTATAAGTAGTATATGACGCGAGTGTAAACGTAAAGTCTGGCAGCAGAAGATGGGGGAAGATCAAGAAAGGAAGAGTGGGAACACAATGGAATTTGTATGAAACGCATGAATAGTGAAATGTCAGACAATGGATTGAAGATTTGCAAATTAACGGTTACGATATGGTTTTCCTATTTTACTGAGTAACTCTGTAATTTTCGTTAAATACAATTCGGTTTCCTTCACCTGTGTTCTCCTTCACTACACTGGTACCATCGACTTCAATAAATCTTAGCGAAAGCTGACCTGATCACTCACGCTTTTGTCAGTGCACTGAGTGAACGTGCTGGCACACGTATGGTCTCGAACTTGGTTGCCATGGTCGCTTCTGGATTCTTGGCTCAATGCTGTTCCGTCCTACGTCTGCAGCGTTTTCTGTTACGAACCCCCATGAATGCAGCCTCCAAATTCTGGATACGAACCGCTCTGGTGTGGTATGCTAACTGGAGCAACAAATATGGCACGCTACTGCTGGTACCCTTCTTTATTAAAGACCGGTGACAACTCGAGCATCATGGATCGCTTCCTTTTCGTCAACCCTAACGTCCTACAATCGCACGAAAAGGAAAAAATCAAGCTCACTATTATCTGTTGCCTCCCCCAAAAAATAAATGTTTCTTCGTCTGTGTGACAAATCTAAAGTGATCAGCCAGCCGGATTTCAGTTACATATGTTTCTAATTACTTTAATACTCCTATTCCCGTGTGTTATTTAACCCAGTAGAAACATCCATCAATCATTACTTGCAAAGAATCAATGCTCTGGAAGTCTCCCCCTTGTTTTTTGTTCCATCAGTGTTATTAGTCTGATTTTCAGGGAATTTTGCCTAACTCCAATTTGTTGCTTTTCGAAACCGTGTTGGAAGAATTGAATTCGATGTAGAACTAATCTAGACGGATATCTATGGGATATTTTCACTGATTCTGAGTGCGTTATTTGTTACCTGAAAGACTTTTAGCCGAACAGGGATCGGGCAACATTGCTCAAGTACTTCCTACTAATGATATATTTTCTTCATATTGGAGCCGTAAAAATTATGCAGATTATTCTCGTCAAGGTTGGGGCACATTCACTTATTAGCGCTACACCACGAGAAACTCAAGCTATGAATGTCGATCTCCTCTCATATTTTTTGATCGTCAAGGAATGTGATTTACCAATGTGTAATGGTGCAGTGTGGACGGTATATTTCTGGTGAGAGTACTTTGCTAACCAGCTAGAACCCAGTTTTTCATTAGTAAAACCCGCCCAAATTTTATTGGTAACTTCAATGCGACTGATGTTCCCCACTCGACGAGATAGTACCGATAATTGTTTGGATAGTGTTAGAAGTTGCTTTTCGAATGCATAAGCTAGTGTAAATTTCCACGCAACTTGGCATTCAGTGTTTAATTGAACACTACTAGCAACATTGAATCAAGGGTCTCTGAGTAGTGAAGAATTGCATAGCTTGGATCCTAGAGCAAGGAGTTAAGGTATATTGTGGGGGCGTCACACACTTGAAGCCAAACAACATTGAAAATTACTCAGTAGGTATGGAGACAACAAAGTGGTTAATTTCTTTACATACATTTACAATTCTTGAAGGAATCTTCCTCCTTGCAAAGGAACTATTTCACAGATCTCAGAAAAAACGAAAAACTATCTAGCTGGCCCTCGGGTTCAGCCAAGTTACTATCCATACAGACGACTGACTTTTGGGGAACGTGACAAGTAGACACTAGGTTACCAGCTCTTACTAACAGAAAAACATTGGGGACAAGTTTGACAAGGGTCTGTTGCTACTTAATTAGTCCCATAAATGACACTACTTCCCATTCTTTGGTAAATTTATCACTAACGAACAGATAATAACCCTGATATGTAGGACGAAAGCTATCAAACCTGTATCACATAGTTGCACAGGAATTCTCAAATGTTATAGTGCACATTGAAGTACTGAGGCTATATGCTATGATACCAGAATACCTTGGTTTTAGTGACACTAATAACTAATTTGATGCTAAGCGACAAAATGTTAAGCTCTCCATGAAGCAAACAATCTGATAGGATAGGTATACAAGCTGCACAAACCAAGAAACCCAAGTAACCAGATGACAGATCACATGACGTATGATCGCGTTTCATAATAGTAGTCAATCAGAAAAAAGCAGTACCAAACTTATTGTGAAGTGAAAATGTTACTACTACAAAAATTATTCAGCTACTTAATAATCTGTCCCGATCAAAACATGAAACACAGCAACAGAACTGGTGTCTATTTCATCGTAGTTTAATATGAAATATTTTTTTAAAGAAGCTATATAACTTGAAACATATTAGCTGCGTGAAAACAAAGTAGAGCGCTGATTTTTACAGATAAATTACAAAACTTAAGATAGTCTAAGTACCAAAGAAAATGATGCGACCGCACGAGCAAACACGTAATGTTTGAAAACACTTCGTTTATGATTTACTGGAGTTCAAATTTCCGACCGCTTCTCACTAACCATGCCTGACTACGAAACCCAAAGTGCGAGGTTTGCCATTACTGATATAATTCGCAAAAGAATTTATTGGAACTTTATTACCAAATGTCAATAAAATGAACGCCTAATAGTATAACATGAAACGTATAAGATATTTCGGCAGTGAAATATACCGAAAGCCATAAGCGAGATACAAGGAAAAAACAGTACATTTGAACACTACAAAATTGTCGCTTATCAAACAACACCACAAAGTAAACGTTCTGAAAACAAACACATGAGCTTATCAGAAAATCCTAAGCCTACAATCCTAGCATTAGAACTAGAGACTTTCATTACAAAATCACTATTAATAGCATAATAATGATGTTTATTGTTGGATATCTGTTTCATTACCATTTGTTGGTTGGAATTCCGGGAAAAAAGGTAGACAAAAGATATTAAAACAGTTGGGCACCTTCAGTTCCAAAAATCGCCATATGTCTTTTCTCACTAACCATGTATAGAATATTCATTTTGTCAATTAAAACACAAATGACATAACTAATCATTATCCCAAAATCAACTCTAATCTAGGCCTAAATCTGAATTCAATCACTGAAGAGACCTAAAGCTGCTTAAAATACCATATTTTGACCAAATTACTTGTATCGGATATAAAGAAACATTTTTTTTTAAATGAATTATCGAAAAAGAAATAAGACCAATATAAAATTTAGTGCTTTCAGTAGACATGATGTTGAAATAAATTATTAAGACTTTTTTTCAATATCAAAAGTAACAATCAAAGTGGACATGCTGATATATATATACACGACCAAAAGAGAAAAAAAATTTATAAAAGAGTTTTTGGACATTAACGTCTTTTACGCTTTAAATCATGGTCATAAAACTCTCCATCACTAGTACTGTCTACCTCTTCACCATCTTCAGGATCAGATGTCCGAGAACGTTTGCTACGTCGATGATGACGATGACGCTTACTACCACCACCACTGAGGGAATTAGCACGATTGCCAGTTGGTGGATTTGCAGCTTCATCATCTTCGTCATCATCATCAGCAGCTTCGCCTTCTTCCAATTCTTCATCTTGACGCTTGTCTGTATTTTTGTGATGCTTGTGATGTTTTGACTTGCGGTGTTTTGATTTTTTTGATTTACGATGTTTACGTTTCTGTGATGATCCTCGTTCATCTTCCGATTTACGATTATGACTATGTTCGGAAGGAACTGGGGAAGGGGAAACAGACTGCTTTTTCTTCTGTTCTTTCACTATATCAGAATCTTTTTCAACATCTTGAATAATAGAAGCAGACCTAAATAGAGACAAAAACATATGTTCATAAGTTACTGATCATATTGTATTTACTAATTACTAAAATCATGAATCAATCATTTCTAGATTACCGTAGCAAACCTGGAAGCACTAGACGGCCGTTTCGTCCTGGTATGGGACTCATCAGTAGTGCGCATTCATGACTTTCGCTACTTACAGTATTCGAACCCAGGACCTTCGGTCTGGAGTACAAATGCCTAACCTCTGCACCACTGGGCTGGCATCCAACAGTGTTAGCGTCCAACTCTTGTCAATGTAGGGATTTTGCGAGATCTCACCCACTTGTCTTCGGTAGTTACTGCATACATCTGACTTGTGTAAAAACCATATGATAAGTTGTTGTATACTGCAATTTAATCATCAACCGTTTGACTAAAATACTTTAGACTACATGAACGATTCTATGGTAGGTTGAACCATGCATCATATTTATACATCTACTGACAGTTCAGTGTAAAATGAATAGACAGAACAGGTTAGTTTAACTTACATTGGCCTAGTTAATGGGCAGACTAGACAATTCCATTAATTAACTAACATGATAAAATTGCCAGTTTCAAGTTAACTAAAGATTTTCAAAAATTAACTATATATCAACATTGAAAGTTACATTGTTGGATTTTTTTAGTGACACCGTAATTGGACACAAGACAAGCCCTCAACGTAAAAGGAAAAGAGGAAGGCCAAAAAACACATTACGCCAAGAAATGGAGACAGAAATATAAAGAATGATCAACAATTGGACATAACTAGAAAAGACGGCCCAGGACAGAGTAGGCTAGAGAATGCTGGTCGACGGTCTATGCTCCATTGGGGATAACAAGCCTAAGTAAGTAAGTAAGTGGACAAGATGTGTTAAACACGACCTTTAGTCGCACACTGACACTTTCAAAGGTAATACTATCTAAAAAATTAAGTTATCTGTAACATTGTTTATATCACTTCACAATTTCAAATAAATTGAACATTGGGTGAATTGGTTATAATACAAAGAAAATGATAATATTTTTAACATTTCAAAAAGTAGAAAATAGGATTTAAGTCGTTTCGTGACTCAGAAGTGTATATCGGTCCTCTAAAAAAGAGTGACTTATTAGGGTCACGCTTAGCTAATAAATTATAGAACCAAGTTATCCAAATCTAAAATATATAAAGATCGTTTAATTTGTTGAGATATATTGAAGCGAAACGACTAGAAAACGACTAGCAGCTTTTGTCAAATAGTAAATGAATCAAATAAGATACAGTGGATAGTCAACACTACGAGTTGGGAACAATTCAAAATTCACTTCAGTTCAACTTGATGAAACTACAGAACAATAATGTCAAACCATCAATATACCTAAGATATTTTAGATCAACTATTTGATTCTGTTACTTACTATTCAGTATCAATAGAGACAACGCATCGGAAATACACCACTTACAGCACTAATGTTCCTAATAATACTTCAAATTGCTGCCTTTTTGAGACATTTAACATTGTCGCACTAACCATAAATTTCGTAGGTATGTAGTGAACTATTTGACAGTTTCTCATAATGAACGTATCTATCAGTAAATCTCCTTAAATTTCAGTATAAAGAATTATGATGAATGTTGTTTGGAACGTCTTAACATGAACATTTAAAATCTAGCCATAAATTGAACCCAAGAACTTCAGGTGTCCAGTGCTTTTTGGCTTTTAATGGTTGCTCGACTAAAGTTAGACCATGATGTAGAACTAAAAATTACTTCACTACTTTTTCAAAGTCATGTGAAAACTTTACGTTATCGTTTAAGTTGGGTTTTTTTTCAGCTATCTAGTTCTCCAACATTTGATATAATATCAATTAGTAGGATCTGAGTGACGTACGCTTAATACAAAATATAATAATATGGAGATGAAGAGTTACTAAGAATTTGTAATTCCTTGTTGTTGATATACAGGGACCGTGACTGGTCAGTTCTTTTCTGTCAAATGCTTTAACTTAGGATAATCGGTTCAGTATAGACATAGATGAAGTCTTGAAAATAATCAACGGAAGAGTACCTTTATACGCGTTGTACAAGTTTCATGACTTGATCAAGAATAAGTAGCTTAAAGAAGCGATACGTATTGATTGCAGTGCCAGTTTTAGTGTGTATGTAAACATTGGAATGCAGGTACATCCAACTAAACAATCTGAAATAAGACGAAATGCACATCTTAGATTCTATTGCCTACTACCAATCCGAATGAAGGTTTTAAATTTCGACTTTGAAAAATCTAAGGAACAAAACTACTGATGCTGAGTGCCAAATTACAATAAATTGTGAGATTTTTATAATTGATATCAGTTTGTGACTTCATTCTCTCTCTCTCTTTCCCTGCATAGAAATCAGCTCACCTTTACAAAATGAATGATTACCAAAGAACAGGAATACAAGCACGAAACTTTAAAGTAACAAACGGAGGAGATGATGGTCAAAAAATAAAAAAAAAGTGAACTGTAAAAATTCCTACATTAATGTTAAAACTAAACCAACCTTTCATGTATGTGTTTTTCTTTACGAGACCGATGAGCATCTTCATTTGAATTGTCAATTGACACGATATACTCTTTAAATAGTCGAATCCTTTCTGATTCTAATGATAAACCCTAAAATGAATAAAAAAAATATTCATTGAAGTAATGAATTGTAAGAAAGAACAAACAATTAATCGAAAAATTGAGTGAACAATAAATTGTCAAAGGAATAAAAGAATAAAGAGAAATAGTTAGAGAATAGCGGCAATGCCTAAATACTAAATGACATAAGTCATTAACTATGACAACGATTGAAGAGATGAAAACGAAATATATGAATTGTAAGTAGTATACCAATAAAACACAACAACTGTACATTGTGTGTATAATCACTCTCAATAGTAAATAAAGTTCTATAAGTTGTTTTTACTATCTGTAATGTGTGATCATGTAACCACCCAGTTGTGAATGATAACTTGATTTACTTGATTTGTAGTCATACAATTCTATGACTAAGAGTTAATGACATTGAGGCCAGTATGTAAAATACTGGCCTCAATAATACTTCGACGCTTAACGAAAGCTCGTGAAGAGCAGACTAGAGAAAACCAGGCTGGTTTTCGACCTGGACGTGGCTGTATAGACCACGTCTTCACACTACGACAGGTCCTGGAACACAGACACACATTTAGGCGTCCCACAATAGTTGTTTTCCTAGACCTTAAGGCGGCATTCGACTCTGTTGATCGTAAGGTTCTGTGGCAGTGTCTGTCATTGAAAGGTGTACCAAAGAAGTACATTAACCTCATACAAGCCCTTTACTCGAACACCACTGGTCGAGTGAGGGCTTATGGCGAACTGTCACCGGAATTCTCTACTTCAAGTGGTGTCCGTCAGGGATGTCCACTCTCTCCATTCTTGTTTAATTTTATCAGAGACATGCTCCTAGACATAACATTATCCTCGTCTGAATTTTCAGGAGTAGACCTTCTACCAGGTGGCTCGCTTATTGACTTAGAATATGCCGATGACATAGTCCTACTTGGTGAAGACGCTGACAAAATGCAGAGTCTTCTGACTACCCTAAGCAATAATGCAAGCATGTTCGGGATGCGGTTTCCCCCCTCCAAATGCAAAATGTTGCTTCAAGACTGGGTTGCATCGGCACCTGAACTAGTGATAGGGAGTGAAGTGGTCGAACGTGTAGACCGCTTCACTTATCTTGGGAGTCTCATCAGTGCCGACGGCCTGGTGACTGACGAAATCTCAGCTCGGATACAGAAGGCTCGATTGGCTTTTGCCAACCTGCGTTACTTATGGCGTAGGCGAGAAATCCGTTTGCTGACTAAAGACGAGTGTACTGCGCAGTGGTTTGCTCCGTCTTAATTTATGGCTGTGAAACATGGCCAGTGAGAGTAGAAGATATTCGTAGGTTACTGGTTTTCGATCATAGGTGTCATCGAAGCATTGCTCGTATATCGTGGGTCACCCGAGTAGGCAACGCTGTTATTAGTAAACGGGTGCTAGGTAAGAATGGGAGATCAATAGATGAAGTGGTGAAACTTCATCAGTTGAGGTGGTTTGGACATGTGTTACGTATGCCTAACCACCGACTGCCTCGACAAGCTTTGTTTAGTGGTGTAGGAATAGGTTGGAAGAATGTTAGGGGTGGCCAAACCGAAACATGGCAGCAATCCATGAAGTCATTGACTAGTGGACTTAGCCATGTCGGTAATTGTCGACTACCTGGTTGGGGTCCGCGAGATGATAATAATCGATGGCTAGAGACCTTGAATGACATGGCTCAAAATCGTTCGCAATGGCGCCAGTGCATTTATTCTCTGTGTTCTCTCAAATCCTAATCTTCTGGATTCTTCAACATCTCTAGTTTTTACTTTCTAAACTTATCTCATTGAATCATACTTCGTGAATAATACCTTCTAATCCTAACCTCTCCGATTACTTCTAATACCTTTACTACCTCTTCTACTATTGGATTTGAATTGACAATTATATCTCTGTGCTGATGCGGTATGGCAACATGAACTGATGTACTTATGTACAAAGTTCTACGTTGCATCTGACTGACTGACTGACAATTGAACTTGAAACCTAATGGTTGAAAGCCAAGCTTTAACCAGGGGGGTCACTGCTATTCCAGTGAAATGTGAACACTCATTGAATAAGTGAGATAAACCAAAATTTAAATTGACAGCGAAGATAAAACGAAAATCATTCAACTCGTCAACTTAGGACTAAATAAAACAACAATCGTGACATTTAGCTATTGATCGTGAGACAAAAATTAAAGTGAAATTGGTGTGACAAGGCTTAAGGTGCAACTAAAGTAGATAAGATCCTGAATAAGAAAGTTTGACTCAGTGAAGCATTCTCATGTTGGTCAAAATTCACTATGGTAGCCTTACAACCTTAAATAAATAATTCTTTTCTACAATAAAAATCAATAATATGCTTTTTAATAATAATAAAATTAATGAATTGGCAAACTATAGTAACAGAGAGATAAAATAAACTAAAACACAAAGTTATTATTCGTGTCAAAGCAACTGACAAGTCACTGACAAGTGGACTGAGTCATGTTGGTAGATGTAGGATATTTGTTTGGGGTCCACGAGACGAAAGTCATCAATGGTTAGAGACCTTGAACGACATGGCTCACAATCGTTTGCAATGGCGCAGGTGCATCCACTCTTTGTGTTCTCTCTAATTCTAACCTTCTAAATTCCTCATAATCTCTACATTTCTCCTTCTAAATTTATCTCACTGAATTATCCTTCTCAAATCATATCTTCGCTCCCTAATCTTCTCCATTGCTGCTAATACTTCTATTATTGCTATCACTCTTGGATTTGAACTGACAGCTGCGTCTCTGTGCTGATGTGGTACGGCAACCTGAACTGATGTACTTACGTACGAAGTTCTGTGTTGTATCTGTCTGTCTGTCTGTAAAAGCAACTTGAATATTCATCAATAGGAAAAAATTAATTTTGAAAGAATTGGGAAATGTAATTAAAACTTGAAAAATAAAAATGACACTATTTAAACCAATGACGATGATAATGGTTCACAAAGTTCGATTTTTTTTGACCGGTAAAATATTCAAAACTAACTTATAATGTAGTTGTTATATAAATTTAATCATGAAATGCTACACTAATTAAATTAATCGATTAAAAGACAACTGAGATTTTTGAGATTAAAATACAAATTAGATAATATAAATTGAAAAAAAAAATTTACTTTGAATGCAGGATGATCACCTAATTTCTCTCGAACTTCTTCCCAACTAGTATTGGATTGTATAAAAGTGGATGTTGTAAGCATTTCACAGAAATTTTGTTCAAGTTTTCGCATACGTCTAGCATCATCTCTTTGACGTTCACGTTCACGACCTTGAGCTTTTTCTATTAAACTATCATATGTCATACGCATATTTCCATCATCTATTCCTTTGCTACGTTCATCAGAGTTTATCATCTGGAAAAAATAAAAAGAAAGTATTCAAAGGTTAGAGAATAAAATGTGGAAAAAATGATCAATGACATGGAACATTATATAATAACAAAATGCAGCTAGTTTTTCAACTAATAAATCAATCAACTTGTGAATTGTGTAGAAAAAGCTCAACAACCTACTAAGGGAAAGAAAACAACAGATTCCAGCAGAGAAGGAATTCAAGAAGAAGCGCTGGAAGTGGATAGGACACACAGTGCGGAAAGCATCCAACTGCGTCACAAGACAAGCTCTCACATGGAACCCTCAAGGTAAAAGGAAAAGAGGAAGGCCAACGAACATGTTACGCCGAGAAATAGAGAAAGATATGAGAAGAATGAACAAACATTGGACAGAATTGGAAAGGGAAGTTCAGGACAGAGTTGGTTGGAGGAAACTGGTGGGGGTGACAGGCGTAAGTAAGTAAAAATAATAAAGACAAAAAGCTATGAATCGAATGACTTCTTTACATTTCACTAACAAGAAATCACTATTCTTAAATATGAACTCTAACAAACTGAAACTATGATAGATAGGTTTACCTTGATTGAACATATTGTATATTTAAATATGTAATAAGAGAGTGCGAATATATCATTTTTTAAGCGATTTTATTCATATAGTACAGTTGACTGATAGCAATGCTATGGGACTAGACTGTTTATGAAAGCTATCCATGTTTCAATGAACTACTACTAATGTTAAAAGATAAATCAGTCTCCCAGTAAACGATGTTTTCTTCATGTGAAATTAAACACATATCAAATATTAAATAAAAAGATATGATTAAAAGCTAATTTAAACAAGCGATGCTGTCGTTAGGAAACGATTACTATGTAAGGATGACAGATCAGTAGATGAAGTATTGAAACTTCATCAGTTGAGGTGATTGGGACATGTGTTACGTATGCCTAACCACCGACTGCCTTATTGAGCTATGTTTTGCGCTGTAAGAGTAGGTTGTAAGAAAGCTAGGGGCGGCCAGACCAAAACATGGCACAAATCATTGAAGTCACTGACAAGTGTTTTTGGTGTCATGTTGTTAGGTGCCGACTACCTGGTTGGGGTTAGCGGGATGATAGTAATCGATGGTTAGGGACCTTGAACAATATAGTTCAAAACCGTTTGCAATGGTGCATCCATTCCTTGGCTTCTCTCAAATCGCAATCCTCTGAATTCCACATCACCTTTATCTCTCTTTTTAAGTTTATTTCACGATATTATACTTCTTTGAACCCTAATTTCTCCGATTAATGCTAATACTACTACTACTACCTCTACTACTATGGGATCTGAAGTAACAACTGCATCTCTGTGCTAATGTGGTATAGCAACTTCAACTGACGTACGTGTGTACGTACGAAGTTCTATGTTGTTGTTGTTGACTGACTGACTAATTTAAACATTAATGGGAATGGGGTTTAAAATTTAACTTCTTTGAAGAAGCGCTAATTAATGGAAATGTGAAATTAATAACAAAATTATTTCTTAGATGAATAGCATATTCATTCAAGTATCTATATATTCTATAAATTAAAACAGAAATACATGAATCATGATACACAACCGCCTGTGATTACACCTGATTGCCTGATCTTCGTTCTACTTTTTTAAAAAAAATAGATGATTTATCAAACCAAATTGCAATTTGTAGATGATATATTTATTAACAAGAAGGAAACGTTTTATTCTATTATCTCATTTTCCGATATTATTTACACACTAACAACCGCATCTAATGAACAGTCACCACCTGGGCATACAATGTGTATCATGATGTTTAATCATTTTCACAAGTGAAACGATTTCATAATGAAAAAGAGAAAGAAATACTCCTCTACATAACAATCACTGAAATGAAATGATTTAACATAAGTCATCGAAATAAATGCAAAAAATATTTTAGATTAAATTTTAACTAGCATTATATAAATTAATTATTTTGCATTACGGGGTTGTGAAGATTGTTAAGTTACACATTTTTGAAACCATGAATCGATCAATGTTAGACCACCATTAGAAACCTGGAAGCACTGAAAGACGGCCGTTTCATCCTGGTATGGGACTCCTCAGCAATCCGCTCAGTGGTCCGATGGTTAGACGTTCGCGCACAATACCGAATGTCCCGGGTTCGAATCCTGCGGGGTGCAGGAGTCGTGGATGCCCACTGCAGAGGAGTCCCATACCAGGACGAAACGGCCGTCCAGTGCTTCCAGGTTTCTAATGGTGTTCTAACATTGATCGATTCATGGTTTCAAAAATGTGTAAATTAATAATTCTCACTTATTTTAAGTAAAATTTTTTAAATAATTAAACAACACAAAAATTGGTTACATGAATATTCTTATAAAGTAAACAACCAAAAAAAAAACTTACTGAACAAAAATCTTCATATGAAACAGATAAATCAATTGTTGTACCGTTGTATTTTAAAATCTCTTTAATAATCTTTTTCTCAGCTGGAAAACGAGCTTTTAATGCTTCAACATAGAATTTAAATAAATCCAATGGAGTAGAACCACGTTGAGCAAGCATTTTATGAAATCGATCATCTCTAAAAACAGTACAAAAGAAAGTACACAAAACAATGTATGGTTTAATAATGACAAATTAAACGAAAACTTGTTTCGTCATGTGTGTGTTATAGAGTACACTTTATTTTATGTTCATCTACATATGTAGGAACACTGAAGAATATACGGTAAGAGAAGTCACAAATTTAGGCGTTTAACAGGCTACTCATATTTCTCGTCAAATGACAAGCATGCATGAAGTGCTGAGTCAATATACTAGATGACTACAATATACAAATGATGAAATCAAAAGATACAAGATCATAGTTAGCCTCAAGAATACTAGAGCTTGGGAAGAGCAGACTCGAGAAAGCCAGGCTAGTTCCAGACATAGACGTGGCTATAAAGACCAGATATTCACTCATCGTCAGGTCCTGGAATATAGACACACATTTCGGCGTCCCACAATAGTGATATTTCTTGACGTTAAGGCGGCATTCGACCCTGTTGATCGTGAGGTTCAATGGCAGTGTCTGTCATTGAAAGGTGTACCGAAGAAGTATATTAACCTTGTACTCGCTCTCTACACAAACTCCATTAGTCGAGTGAGAGCTTATGGCGAACTGCCATCGGAAATTGATTACCACGAGTGGTGTTCGCCAAGCCTATCCACTTTCTTGTTGGTGGATTTTTACACGTTATGTGTATTTATTATTGTGTTAGCCAGAACCAATCAATCATCAATAAGTAATCTCTTAATCTTCTATATCTGCTTACTACTTTTTGTATTACTTCATAAATTCCTATACTGTTTTGAGTAATCAGTCAGCGTCAAAAAAGAAATATATCGAGCTAGATTTAATACAACGTTACTTACTTGTTTATGATATGGTATAAATCTTTCCACAAAGACATAGAAGTGAGTAATTTCTGTTCGTGCAGTTCATCGAGTAAAACTATGAATGCTTCTCGATTCTTTCGTTGTTCCCGTTTTTGCCTACGACGTTCACGTTCTTTATCTTCATCATGCTCTTGTTCAAGCATACAAATATGCTCTTCAAAACAGACAAGTGCATCCTCTTTGTCTAAATTTTGTAGATCCACATCTCCAGTGAATCTGTCAACATTGGAAAATTATAAAATACATGGAAGTTTGACAACTGGAAGAGCTTATAAGTTAAAAACAGTTGTATTTATTATCAATAAATTAAAGATCGGATTGATTGACTTTGAATGGGTATGCACTGTTTTAGAAATAAGAATTAATTCGGTTGACTTTTCAGGGATTGACGTACCACTAAACTTAATTACCAAACTAGAGTGCGCAGATGATATTGTCATGCTTCATGAAGACAGTTTCCTACACATTTTAAGTAACCATATAACAGTATCTGAAAAGCACCAATGTTTTTCATCATGTAAAATGTTACGTCAGGATTGGTCTGCATCGACGTTTAGTTTGATCATTGGGAATGAAGCAGATGAGCGTGTTGACTTTACTTACCTTCAAATTCTGACCAAACTTGATGGACCACCATAACTCCTACCAATTTGAGTTGCCTATGATGCAAGTGAGGTTTCTATCTCCCAACCAAGGGGTGAGCACACTGAAGACTAGTTTTCTTTATATTACTCTGTAGTCGCTAAACCTGCTCTGTAAGGGACAAAGGCAGGGTAAAAGTTTCGGATCGTCTTTTTCATAAACGATGGAACAACAGAGTATTTTTAAAGTTAGGTCCGTAATACTCAGTAAAAAGCCGGTTCACTGATGAGAACATACAATATCGATTGACGTGGATAGAATACGTGCTTGTCTAAACACCGTCTAACCTGACGTGCTATATCGGCTATTACGGGATTTTGAGTTAGGGAAAACCTAACCGTGCGTAAATCAAGGCATAATCCACGAAGTTGCTGATAGTAGGTGAGGACTTACTGGTTGAAGTTACAAAATACTAGCCATCAATAGTTCAAGACGTTTGGTAACATGGTTCAAAGCCGGTTACAACGGTGCAACTGTAATTACTCTTGATTCTCATATAACGATTGACTTGTTACTTAAATTATTTGTTTCGCATCCTAGTTTATGCCTAAATAGTTTATTGAAAATATTTATGACCACAACCCTGAATAAGGCAGCTATGAATTACTGTATGGTAGGACACCAATTTCTAGATTTTGGGTATTTTTCAGTCAGTCAGCTTAAGGATACGGCACAAATGTGGCCCAATCTAAAATACCACGCTACGCCGGTACAACGTGCCAAATTAACAAGCAGAATAATAAAGGAGTCGAAATAATATTAGTAACAATGATAATAAAAAGACCAAACATAAAGAATAAGGTGAGAAGAGAAGCAGTATATTCAGAAGAATAAGAATTTGGTATGTTGGAGAATTTCTATAAGCATCAAACGTAAGTTCAGAATGTTTTGTCTATTACTTTACATTAAAATAAAATGCACCGCAATATTTGATTGTTTAACCTATTGACGACAATGAAAACTTGATCGATATAATTTGATGCTGAAAAACTAGGTAATATCATACAGATTACACTGAGTAGAGGATTAACAGTACGTAGTAAGCAGTAAGTTACGACGCAGAACGTCGTACGTACGTACATCAGTTCAAGTTGCCATACCACATTAGCATAGAGATACAATTGTCAATTCAAATCCCAGAGTCGTAGAGATACTAAAAGTATGAGCTGTAATCGGAAAGATTATGGATTGAAGATATTATTCAAGAAATATAATCTAGTGAAACAAACATAAGGAGAGGGAGATACAGATCAGGGAAAATTCAGAAGATTAGAATTTGAGATAAGGCAAAGAACAAATGCACCTGCGCCATTGCAAACGGTTTTGAGCCATGTCATTCAGGGTCTCTAACCATCGATTACTATTGTCTCACGGACTCCAACCAGGTATTCGACACCTACTAGCATGGCTCAGTCCACTTGTTAGTGACGTCATTGATTTGTGCCATGTTTTGGTTTGGATTCCCCTAGCTTTCTTACAACCTATTCCTATACCAAGAAACGTTGATCGTCGAGGCAGTCGGTGGTTGGGCATTCGTAACACATGTCCTAATCACCTTAAGTGATCAACATTCACTACCTCATCAAATGATTTGCCATCCTTATTAGTACCCTTTTCCTGACAACAGAATTGCTTGAGCGACTGTCCCAGGATATACAAGAAATGCTCCGAAGACTCCTATGATTGAATAGTAGTAACCTATGTATATCCTCTACTCTTCTGGCCATATTTCACACCCGCAAAGTAGGATGGAGCGAACTGATGCGCAGTAGACTCGTCCTTTGTTTAGCAAACACATATCTCGGCGACGCGATAAGTGACGCAAGTTGGCAATAGCCAGTCGAGCCCTCCGAATGCGTGCTGAGATTTCATCAGACACCGGTGGATTGGCATAAATAGGTTACCTACTGTTCAGCAACCTATTGCCAAAACTCAATAATCAAGTGAAGTTTTAGTATCCTGCTGTAGTGATACTGACAATAAAGATGTACAACTACCCTAAGAGTTGTTTCCAATTTCAATTCTCGCGTTTCGTCCACGGTACCGTTTTCATTTCATGCTTGTATAAAATGAAGAGAAATTGTACGGACTTCTACGAGTTACACATAACTAGCGTATGAGCTAAAACTGGTAACATCCCCGCAATAAGCAAACAATAATCACCAAAATAAAGGTTAAACCTGCCTTTTTAAAACACAAATGAAGGTCTTTCATTGGTTTAATCAAAATAAGTGAATTTGATAGAACATCAAGAAAAACTAACCTGGTATTATCAAGTAGCATTTGTTGTGCTTCGCTCCAGGTCGTTCGGTATGTAAGGTCAAGCATTTCACTGAGAATTTCATTGAAGACTCGTATATTTCTTTTGCGCAAGATTTTAGCCTCCTCTCGTTCACGTTTACCTACCTCTAGCATAACATCGTCAAATATTTCACGGCGATCTCGATCGGGAACATCAGTCCACTCTTTTGTATCCGAAAGTAATTGATCTACCCTACGGTATGACATAGTTGAGTGTAGTTTATTGCACTTCAAAAGATACTTCTCTAGATCCTCTTTTGCCCTTTTGATTCTTATTCTCTGCTCCTCGCGTTCTTCCTTTAATCTTTGGGTTTTGTAAACATTAAATATCTGTTTCTTTTCATTGAACGTCCTTAGGATCGAGTAACGAGGATCCCCAGAGATTAACTTCAATGCTTGCTCCCATGTAGCCCCACCAGGAACATTGCAATCTCTGAAAAGCCTCCTGAGACCTTCAGCCATTTCTCCTCGGGTCTTATATTCTGGTACTGTCTGAGGAGTTGGTGAAAATGTAGTTACGTGCGAATTAGATGTAGGCTTCTCTTCCTCGCTGTCATCTTTATCACTATCGTCGACTTTTTCCGGAGGCAGAGGAATAGGAATCGATGAAGGTCCGGTGTCTGACGTATCAAAAGAGGCCAGAGTCGCCTTCATTGCTCGTTCTATTTCCGATGGCTCAGGAGGCTTATTGATATCCTCTTTCGGGGTGGCTGGTGTACAAGGTGTGACTGGAGGTATACTTGGTGGTGGTTCAGGGACCGTAGCATTTGCAGCCGTATTACAGGCAGCTGCTTGATTTTCAGCGTCTATTAGTTCTTGCGGTTTGATCCAAACTGATTGTTTCGTATTCTCATTAAAATAGTACGGTTTGCCATTTTCAGACTTAAACTCTTTCCATGGACAGTTGCAAAGTATTCTTTCACGCTGAGTTTTCAACTCTTGAGGTTTTTCCCAAGTTGTCTGTTGAGTGAATGTATTATAGTAGTATTTCCTCCCATCATGAGAATGGTGTTCCACCCAACCTGCATTGACTTGGGCAGCTGACAACTGCGTGACAGAATTAGCTGGATTAGGAATCGACGCAGGCATAAAGGCTGCATGAGCATAACCAGGATAACCAAGGTGAGCAGTAACAAAGTGATGAGGATAACCTGCCATCACTAGACGAAGTGAAACCTGATGAATATCAACACGATTAGAAAATATGAATCAACTTAGTTGTCTTAACCAGTTTTAGGTAAATATCAACGCAGTGATAACACTGAGATTGTATTAGCTACCTTTCGTAGAAACACGAGGGAAAACAAGTGGAACTGTTATAAGTAGCTCGTTTTCTGAATAGGCAAAGATTTTAAAAAATCATATAGGGAGGCTAAGGCTACATTTATAAGGCATCTCGGAACTTAAATATCTTTCAGCATAAAATCACATATGCTCAAAATCCCTACAATCGTTTAAGAATTTTAAGTACTTCCTAAAGATTCAAGATACACTTGAATTTTAAGAATTGGCTACTACTGATATTATGTCTGCGGAAGTAAAACATTTAAAAATATTAAAGCCACATGTGGAACCACCTTCGTAGCTGGAATTTAAATGACCTCACTTCTTCGCTTTGTAGCCTGGTCTAAAATTTTAAAGAGAAATTCAGCAGCCAATTCTCGTTAAACTTTGTTCAAATTTTGACGAACGGTCATAAGAACATGTTTAATCTACGGTTGTACAACATGTATCAAAAGAAAGACCTGAACATTCGCTTACGGGGTTACTGAAATAGCATGCAAATATATATCGTAGATCTATATTATTTTACGATATATTATCTTGATCATACTAAAATCCAGCTCAACACAACTGATGACTTCATTAAACAGTACCAAGACCACGTTATCACACTACAACGTAACGATGTTAGTAGAGTGAGGAAGAAGCAAAAGCAGAATAAGGACAGGTACTAATAAATTCAGTAATATATTTATGAAAGAAGAATCACTGACAATCGGAATGTTTATAGAATGATTAATAGGGATGGACAGTAAAAGACATGGTAAGTGTCGAGAGATTCAAATCGATGCACCGAAAAAGGTGGACCTTTGTTAGCTAACTTCGGGTAGGTTTCCCTGTTCTAAACCCTCTCTCGAGTAGATTCAATGTAGGTGGAAACAATATAGTTGGCAAATCTGTTGGCCAAAATAACTTAGCGTTCATGTGGTATCTTTTGAGTTGCCCTAAATAATAATGAACATAACACTGGAGAAATCTCAGTGCCTTTAGTCTTGAATTAACGACCTGCAAACTTATCACACAGTGTCAGCCTGCAATTAGAACCTCTCTATTCTCTTACTGCAGCCTACGATGTTATTTTATTACGATGTTGCAGATGTCTATAGAAGACTCTGGGCACGATAGATATTTTCTTTATCACAAGGACGAGACAAAACCATCATCTAGAAGCGATTCCGGTCATTTATAATATCCAATATCCTTCTTACAAGCTATTACAAACCACATGATCTCTTTCCACTGGCTTCTTGTTTATTTCGTTATAGTTCCTGGTATTTAGTAATAACCAATGGATTTTAGTAGTCTAGCCACTGGACTGCACTAATTCTAGTTTTTAGTTCATGAATTTGTATGTCACGTAACAGAACTGGACTTCTGCCCCTTTAAAAAGAAATCGCATAGACTTCCAAAAATAAACAGTTTGAAATAAGTCGACTTACTAGAAGTTACGTTGACCAACAGGACTTACACTGCCCGCTACAAGTTGGTCAATATCCAATATCCTTTTCCACAAGCTATTTTTAAACCGATCCTGTTGTTTCTGTAAGGTTCGACATACTTCACTAACTTCTTGTTCTTCTGACCTACGTATCGGCCACTGGAAAGCATTTATGTTGATGTAAAGTGGTCGATATCACTTCCTTATTGAAAGTATGGGTTAAATAAGTTAGTCATTAACAGTCAGTCAGTCACTTACAAGGCAGAACTTCCCAAGTACGCACATCAGTTCAAGTTGCCATATCACATTGTTATTAACAGTAGAAGTGATCATAGAATAACTTTCAGAGTACCTAGGGTGGTTATATTATCGTCAAGCCTTCAATGAGGCATCCTGACAATTAGGATGGAAAGTCCCAACTAAATAATCCTTCCTATGCACAGTGATTAACAGTTACAATTAGGCTTATTAAACACGTTTAATCCAGCACAAGTTCAATCAACAACCAGCTACCAACCAAAAAAACACGTCTCTTCCATGCAGCACCCCCAAACCTTCGTGCCAAAACCACTCTTCCAAGACCATCACATGGTCTCACCATCGAATCAAGTCTATCCATAGACCATTCACTTCTGCTTCCATGTCTTTCTTCACTATACTTATACCCATGGTAGTTAAGAAATTAGGTTGGAGTTTCCGTTACTACTTTGACTATTCTACTCATCTCTATACCTTTTCAGTCTATTGGAATACACAGTTTGGTTCCCGGCCTTTTCCTTCTTCATCAATGTTATTTGTTTGCCTTTACATGAGAGTTAAAATGGAATGGTCCAGTCCATTTACTTTTTGATCATCCCCTTGTTTACCTGTAATAGCTATCTGTTTAATACCCACTTCCGCCAGCCTCTTCAGACTCCAAGTCATAATGTGATTTTGTCTGTTTTTAGACTTGACAGAGTGGGTCATCTCACTGACTTACAGCAACCGTACCACTAAGGATGCGCTTATTTCATATCATCCGAAAAAAATGTAATATGTAAAATGTTGATTCCCATATGCTCCATCGGTACACTAACAAACAGAAGAGTGTTAGCGTACATCAAGCTACATTCTCTTCTACAGCAACTGTCATGAATTACTGGTAGTTTTCTTCAACTGGATTGTTATCTTCTAGGTTGTGAGTCTTGGCTCGTGCTTTCTAAACAAGTGACACAATTTCCCTATCGAAACTAGGTCCTTTATCAGAACATGGCTATTTCAGTACTCCCTGGTGAGCAATCAAATTCTCGAACAGCACCCTCGCCACGGTACTGATATCTTGTAGTGCTTCGACATACATTTGAGTTCGCTGATATTTAATTTGGTTAAGCCTTACGATTAAATTATTTGACCAAACTACTTGTATATATGTACCACTGGCTTTTACTATTGTCTGGTTTGTATGAGCTGGTATGCCTGAACATTGCTTACCGCATACGCGAATATTCATCCTACTCTTTAATGTTAACCTCTTCGATATTTCGATGACTCAGACATTTTTCTATGTATATATATGTACATTTTAATCTTATTAATTCATTCGCCAATTCGCCAGACCTCTCACCCGCTAGCGTGTTCGCCCTTCTCTGTGTGCTTGTGGTCTGCTGGTGCATTCGTGATGCGCCAAAATGAACATGTTCGACATTTCGTGTTCTCCTTCTGATTTATAAACCATGAGGCGCTATTTAGGAACGGTTGTCTAGATGAGCAAATAACGAAGTCTAAGCATACGTTGGGTACTGACTGTCAGGAAATTAGTGAGACACTAGCCATCATAATCTTAATGAACAGCTTAACACTATTTCGTTAAATTATCTACCGTAACCTCACGTACTTTATGACTTTCTTTGATTCTCACAGTGGTCAAATTATATCTTCTCACGAAATTCCTTCAGGGAATCTGGCGTAGGAAGTAGTCACTGCAGATTAAATTCTTAACTGATTCCTTTACTGCCGATCACAAATTCTTGGCTTAGCTAAAGTCAGAAGTAGGCTATTAATCTAAATAAACTTTATCTGTTTCTGAAATTTAAGGTTAAACCATTGGTGTACAAAAAGCATAAATTAATACAGCCTATTAGAGAGAAAAATTTGGCACAAAAAGTAAACCGAACAATGACAGGAGAACAGAAAAAATGGATAACAAAAACTCAATATGGTTTATGACAGGCGTAAAAGATTGACTATCGAATAATCTAGGCATGCCTGTATAAGTTTGAAATGAGTTTACGTGGTGTGATTTAATGTGCTATCATCATTTATCATCACGTCGTGGATTGTGGTCGTTTTTTCCGCTTTCAAATGTTCACGAATTTTTTATACCTTTCCGAGAAAAATTACTAGTATGATCCATCAGTTGTTCACTATCTTTGAAAGGTTTAAGCACACTAGATGTGGCTATTCGTATTCGTCGAAGTTGCGAACATTGAAATACAGTGTAAATCAAGTCAGTAAGTGGACACCGTCAGATTTTTATGGAACATAAGCCCGTCATGAACAACTAATATGATTCATCAGACTTTAAACTAGCTTTACTTTTATAGGTTGAGCGTTTAAGGTATATAAAATTAATTAGAAACGTCTGGGAGATGCGTTAAGCTAACCGTCACATAATCCCTTCCGGTTTACTTGGTGGGCAATTGTATCAGAAAAAAGCAGCTGGTATATGAGCCCTGTCTATGAGAACAATTATAGGCATAACTAGTAAGTGTATAAGTCTTATGAATTAATGAAGCGAAAAAATAATAATTCAAACGCATTAAACCAACACGGGATGTGAAGAGTAAAAGAAGGTTGTATTTGAAGAAGTAGATCACTTACAGAGAAGAAGAGATGAAGGTACTGGCCTCTGAGGTAAGGTCAGAGAGATAAATACTGGGGGAACAGAGCAGCTAACCTTTTTATGATAATCAGACGATCATGCAAATATCTATATTGTCGATTCCCGTCTGTCCACTGCAATATAAGCGAGGTTTGGTAAAATTTCTCTTCAATTGGGCTCAAACGGTTCGCACCACGGATACATTTGATAACGACGCGAAATTCTCAACTGAAGCATTGATTTCAAATGGTTATCCGCTAAAGTTTATCAATAGGTGTAGAAATTAGTTAAGACAAAAGCAAGTTTTTCATTCTGCTGAGAAGAAAAAGGTTTATATCACTTTACCATTTAAAGGTGAAGCAAATGGTCTAATCTTAGGACAGAGACTAAAAGCAGCCATAGAGAAAACGTACAACACTGCTAAACTGGTTATCATTGAAAAGACTAAGCCCATGATTTGACATAGACCTAAGCGTTACTCGAATGATTACTTCACATCCAATTGCATTTATCAGTTTACATGTTTGTGTGGACACACACCCATAGGGAGGAGTAATCAGGCTTTGCAATCAAGGGTTTTGGAACATATACCTAAGTGGCCTCAAAATAAGTTAACGTCAGATAAGCCGATTAGCGTTGGAAATAGGAAACCATGTTCATCGATCGCAAAACACATAATTGAGACAGGACATAAAATTGGCATCAAGACAGCCTTCAAAACATTGTATGGAAATGCTGAAGGCGAATTTCGAGGTTGATGGAGGCCTTGGCTATTCGAAAATCAAAACCCCCTTATGTGTGCAGAAACAATTTGTCATAACCTTGAATTTACCCTGGTAATCTTTAAGCCTAGGGTAATGTGACTGCTTCCTACCCTTTATTATTCTTTCCATAATACGTTAATTTTCTCTCTCCTTTATTTACAAATATCACCCTCTGTTTATTTGAACTTTTATTTAATTGACCTTTTATTAATCTTCATATAAAATGTAGAATCCAATTTGAAGGCTTTGTTTCAGGAAAATCCCTCCATGCACATATTTTTAATATGTTCTTACATACTCTTTCTGTGCTTCATTTTGGTACACCTTTTAATCATATTTTGTGTTGTTATTGTTTGTGTTTTGTCATAGTTTTTATTTTTTGTACCCTTATTGGAGTTTCTATGTTTTCTGCTGAACTGTATTATGTTGTTTAAATTAGTACTTAATTACGGCCTCAGCCATATCGGATTTAACATCGTGGGCGGTGAAACGCGAATCTGGACTGGGAGGGTGTAATTTGGACCTATACAGAAGCATTCTTCCAGAATTGGAAACATGTGTTAAATTTGTAACGGAACAGTGTAATATTGTTTAGGTGGTGATGTATAATTTTAATTTATAATAGAACCGTTTCTTAACCAGATAAAATGCTTTGTTGTTGGGATATCCGGGCAAGGTGCGTATCTAAACTTCTACAGCTGTTCTTCCGAATTCAGAAACCATTCAAAGTCCTAATATAAGATGCCTCGACAAGTAAATATGTGTGACCAGACTTTTCGATATACATAGCGCAAATACATCATATTTATCAGATGAATTACGTCTTCTCACTGTTTTATCAAACATTATCAGATATAAGCTCTTGAGTTATACAAATTTTCTTGCAACAAGCGCGTTAAATTTGAAAGTATTTAAACTTAGTTTTTGTAGTATTAGGTTAATTGCCAAACGGCGAATCGCCTAGAGACCGACTTAGTAGCCTGTATCTACCATCACTAGGCGCGAACAGTTATCTCCATCTTACACAGCCACACAGTAACACAAAACTGGAAAATAAAGTTGCCCTGATGCGACACTCTAAGAATAAGCTGATAATAATGATCGTAATTTTGAATAAAACTGGGGGAAAATTACAAGTTCAAACAACTTTTTACCAAGAAGTATAACTACGGTTATTTAAAACAGTGGAGTCCCAAGTTGCCAATCTTTTGTTACTATCATATAAATACATAACTTATGTACATACGCCTCCAGTTGCTTCAAAATATGGACAGAGGAGATTATTACCTTGAGATTATTAAAAAGTATGAATTAGGTGTTAATTATCAAAGAACTTTTAAAGTAGAAATTAACGCCCTGTTCATTGCTTCAAGAACCAAGTTCATCACATACTGCGGTGTTCAACGAGTTCTATGTTGAAACAGTGGCTGAAAAGTGCATATTCACCTCCAAGAATACAGTAT